CATTCCCCCCCTCCCCCCCGCTCGCTCTCTTTCTCTGTGTTACCCAGCTCGCCTCTTTTTTTCACCTACTCGAGTCTATAGCAATCCGCAAGCGGATCCTTAAAGGTTTAACCCATAGGAGTTACCGTACCTTGTTGGCTGGAGGCTGCGCGTCACTGACAGACAGACCGACCGAATGAATGAAGAGGCCGCAGAAGCGAGCCGGCGCCTTATATATGCCGGGCGGAGAACTCAGCCGCGTATCCCTACGCCCTCCCGCACACGCATTACTCATAGGGAGGGGCGGGGACTAGCTCGACAGGCTGTTTTACATCACTCCGCCCACTCACAGCTCTACGCGGCAGGAGGCCCCGCCCCCTACACCCTTGCATGAAGGATAAAGGGCGGGGATACCTGCTGCCTCTCATACACAAGGGCGGAGGCCAGATGATTGCACCGCCCCTTATGGGATAGGGGGTGGAGCTCGGTGTTGCGTGATACATAACGAACACAGGGCGGAGATTACTTTCCAACCGTCATACACGGCGCCCCTTAACCCTCCGTGAGGCGCAGTGTCCCTGCGCTGTCATCTCTGTCCTCACATGTGGCCGCTTCTTATATGAATCAATATGTAGAGTCAGGGCCCACCAGTCATGTTCTCCGCCGCTTCCTGGAAAGAGCACAACTGCCTTCCACCCAAAAGTCATATATGTGTCATGTGTGGAGTCAATTACAAAAGACCTGAATCCTAAGGATCACTATGACAACCAGGAAGTTTCAGTCTCCAGAACTGAGAGTTCATTGAAGCTTCAACGTTCAATTTCATAAAATACTCTCCAGTGATCCTCCCAGGCACTTCCTGTTGTAGGGTGACAACCCTCTGTGCTGTCTCACAATTGGGCTCCTGCGTTGTCACCCTGCCACATGGCCTTCCGGTGACACGATCCCTGTCTTTTAAAGCACATGAACCAGAAGGATTCACCTGCGGTGAATGTCAGATGAGCGGCTTTATAAATATTCTTGTGGTTCGGGTTCAAATCTTCTGTAAAGAGAACCTGTATCCCAAGGCCTCAGGCGGATTTAGCGGTTTCAACGTCGAGTCACATGACCCTGAGAGATCCTAGTGGGACGGACATCCAGTCAGTTGATTGGAGGATAATGATGCCCCGCCCCTCTCCTTCCTCTGATTGCGGGATGTGACGTTTGTGGCTCTGCAATCACAATAAACTTTATCCGCAGCACCAGAGCAAATGTCTCCATGCCGCCCCTCCGACCAATCACAGCCGAGAGGAGTTGCTCCGCCCCTTTGTTCACATGCCATTAGCATACAGAGAGCTGTCACGGAATGTAAACACATTAGCGGATTGAGTCGTGACATCATAGGACTTGCTCCGCCCCTTTGTTTACATTCCATTAGGGACAGGGAGCTGTCACAGAATGTAAACAAATGGGCGGAGTGAGTCGTGACATCACAGGACTTGCTCCGCCCCTTGGTTTACATCCCATTAGGGAGACAGAGAACTCACGGAATGTAAACCAATGGGCAGAGTGAGTAGTGACATCACAGGACTTGCTCCTCCCCTTTGTTCACATTCCATCACGGAATGTAAACAAAGGGGCGGATCAAGTTCAGTAATGTCACGCTTTGTTGACAATTGGGTCAGAGCTGTCATTAGCGTTGAGAGTTCGGACGCGGCGGCCGGGATTTTTTCATTTCTCGGATCAAGGGTCTGGTAAGGGATTTAGGGGGGACCCCGTGCGGTATGAATTGGGGGAGGGGGAGACCCTACACTGGTTTTTTATTTTCACATTTCCCAACAACCCAACTCCCTCCCAACCCGTTACCATTGGCAACCACTCCGGCTCCCTGCCTATTTCTCTCTTGTCCAATCAGCGTGCTGGGTGCTATCAATATAACACTATTGATCGGAAAATTGTCAACATGATCCGTCCGCTACAAATATATCCAATCCAAAGCGGCCATTTGATCTCTCTCCATGGCGACACCGATCGATCAGAAGTGATCGATCAAACTCTCCCCCCCCCAATCGGCCTGGCAGAGCCGAGACCGACCGAATGGAAAGATCAGATTTATGGAATGATCAATCTTATTGAAACATTTGTGTCCGACATGATAGGTGCATCAATAGCAATCGATTGACAATCGTGTCGGCGACACGGCGTGAAAACCGACCGCGGCCAATCCAGATCTGATCAAACGCGTCGCGGCCGACGATGACCGACATGGTTTATAAATTAATCAAAAATCGGTTTGCAGTGCGCTAATGTTTATTATGACAACCCCTCCCCCCACCCCATGTGATTGATTACGTTGTTACGTCATCGATGTCTGATCGGTTCTGATTTCTCGTTTGCCTGGATCAGTTTTATCGATTCTGTTTTTTCGGGCTGAAGAACATACCAGAACGTTGACGCTGCGGGTATGACGTCGGTGTTGGGGAAAGGGTTAAATGTGTGTGTGGGCGGGGATTGGGGCGGGGCCTCTGGAAATATGACGGTTATTTTCAAGAAGGATCCATACTCCATGTTTCGCGGGGGGTGACGCGCCGTTAATGTATTCCCCGTATACAGCGTAGAATATTTCATGGTCGGACAGTGTGAGATTTCACCGATTACAGTAACCGAAATTTCCAATCACAACCCCGGGTGACCCCGTCAGTACAATGACACCATTCATGATCAGATTGGGAGAGGGGAACTACAAGTCTCAGCATTTCCTACACTCCCTGTCACCTATGACATCATATCTTGATGTCATAGGTATCTGCTGCGGATGACGGACACTAAAACGTTACACTGCGGAGAGTCTATAAATAGTCGCTGCGTCTTCCGGCAAGTACGGGGTTAAAGGAAACAAAAGCTCAGAAGAGGGAGCGGAGGGACTATTTGTTGGGGCGGAAGAAGATCGGAGTGCTGCGACTTTCCTTCTAGTGCTTTCCATCCCGGCCCCTCCCTTCCCCGCCTCCCCCCTCCTCTGACTCTGCCCCCTGTGCTTCCTCCATTTCAGCTTCCTTCCAAATGCCTGCACCTCTCCTTCTGCTCCCCCGAGCCCCAAATCCTGCCTCCGGTGCCTCTATTTCTACCCCCTGTATGCATGTGCCTGCCCCTGTCGCACAATTCTACCCCCTGTATGGATATGCCTGCCCCTGTCCCACAATTCTACCCCCTGTATGCATGTTCCTGCCCCTGTCCCACAATTCTACCCCCTGTATGCATGTCCCTGCCCATCCCACAATTCTACCCCCTGTATGCATGTTCCTGCCCGTCCCACAATTCTACCCCCTGTATGCATGTTCCTGCTCCCTGTGCTTCTATTCCTGCCTCTTGAATGATATCATTGTCGGGCTCATGCAGCCAATTTAAGTGAGGAGCTGTAAGGAGGAACGCCCAGTTTTTTCCCCCCCCTTCCTTTATTTTTACCTCCTGTTCCTGCCCCTCTTTACCTCTGATCCTTTGCCCTGTACCTCCATTTTGTCCCCCTGTACCTCTATTCTTTCCCTCCTGTTCTGTTCCTGCCCCCTGTACCTCTATTCCCTCCCCCTAATCCTTACCTGCACGCCTGTTTCTGCCCCGTTCCTAATAAATGTAATACTCCAGAAAAATCTCTTCATTGTGAAACACAGAAAACACTAGGGGGGAGGCCCCTTCACATTGGTCCTCAGTGATGAAGGGCCCCTTCATTGGTCCTCAGTGATGAAGGGCCCCTTCTCATTGGTCCTCAGTGAAGAAGGGCCCCTTCACATTGGTCCTCAGTGAAGAAGGGCCCCTTCTCATTGGTCCTCATTGAAGAAGGGCCCCTTCACATTGGTCCTCATTGAAGAAGGGCCCCTTCACATTGGTCCGCAGTGAAGAAGGAGCCCCTCACATTGGTCCTCATTGAAGAAGGGCCCCTTCACATTGGTCCGCAGTGAAGAAGGAGCCCCTCACATTGGTCCTCAGTGAAGAAGGGCCCCTCACTTTGGTTCACAGTGAAGAAGGGCCCCTTCACATTGGTCCTCAGTGAAGAAGGGCCCCTTCGCAGTGGTCCGCAGTGATGAAAGAACCCCTCACATTGGTCCTCAGTGAAGAAGGGCCCCTTCACATTGGTCCTCATTGAAAAAGGAACCCCTCACATTGGTCCTCAGTGAAGAAGGGCCCCTTTATTGGTCCTCAGTGAAGAAGGGCCCCTTCGCATTGGTCCGCAGTGATAAAGGAACCCCTCACATTGGTCCTCAGTGAAGAAGGGCCCCTTTATTGGTCCTCAGTGAAGAAGGGCCCCTTCGCATTGGTCCGCAGTGATAAAGGAACCCCTCACATTGGTCCTCAGTGAAGAAGGGCCCCTTAATTGGTCCTCAGTGAAGAAGGGCTCCTTCACATTGGTCTGCAGTGAAGAAGGGCCCCTTAATTGGTCCTCAGTGAAGAAGGGCCCCTTCACATTGGTCCGCAGTGAAGAAGGGCCCCTCACATTGGTCCTCAGTGAAGAAGGGCCCCTTCATTGGTCCTCAGTGAAGAAGAGCCCCCCTAACGTTGATCCTCAGTGAAGACCCCCCTAACATTGGTCCGCAGTAAAGAAGACCACACTAACATTGATCCTCAGTGAAGAAGACCCCCCTAACATTGGTCCGCAGTGAAAAAGGGCCCCTTCGCATTGGTCCGCAGTGAAGGGCCCCTTCGCATTGGTCCGCAGTGAAGAAGGGCCCCTTCGCATTGGTCCGCAGTGAAGAAGGGCCCCTTCGCATTGGTCCGCAGTGAAGAAGGGCCCCTTCGCATTGGTCCGCAGTGAAGAAGGGCCCCCTAACATTGGTCCTCAGTGAAGAAGACCCCCCTAACATTGGTCCTCAGTGAAGAAGACCCCTCTAACATTGGTCCTCAGTGAAGAAGGCCCCCCTAACATTGGTCCTCAGTGAAGTAGACCCCCTAACATTGATCCTCAGTGAAGAAGACCCCCTAACATTGGTCCTCAGTGAAGTAGACCCCCTAGCATTGATCCTCAGTGAAGTAGACCCCCTAACATTGATCCTCAGTGAAGAAGATCCCCCTAACATTGATCCTCAGTAAAGACGACCCCCTAACATTGGTCCTCAGTGAAGAAGACCCCCCTAACATTGGTCTGCAGTAAAGAAGACCCCACTAACATTGGTTCTCAGTGAAGAAGACCCCCCTAACATTGGTCCTCAGTGAAGAAGACCCCCCTGACATTGGTCCTCAGTGAAGAAGGAAGTCCTCACATTTGACCTCGACAGCCTGGGCTCACAGGAAGTGGGCTGAATGAAGGTTATGGAACTGGCAGAAGGAAATGGTAATGTAATATCACACATTTGGAAGACGATGTTCCATCACTGGACTGGCCAGCGTGCTGGTAAATAAAAATAAAGGGCCGCATCGTGCGGCTGAGGGGAGGGCCGCATCGTGCGACTGAGGGGAGGGCCGCATCGTGCCCTGAGGGGAGGGCCGCATCGTGCTCTGAGGGGAGGGCCGCATCGTGCTCTGAGGGGCTTTTTGGCTTTTTTGGGGGGGAAATCAGAACTGACTGCGACGATGATCAGCCCGGGAGCGGGGAGGAAGCAGCTGCAGTCCGTCAAAAAGGCGTATTCAGTCGAAACTCCCAACTTGTGTTCCTGCGTTTGGTCCGTCACATGGCCGCGGTGGAATTTAAAGGGACATTTCATAAACGGATATCGCATACAACAAGAGATCGCCACACACAGCATTTCTTTATTTAATGTTATATTTTAAAAAAAACAAAAAAGCCTTTCGGTTTCATTCCACAATTTTCAACAGATATCCAAAAGTTACATTTTCTCTTCCTTGCAACCATGGCAACATTGCGAGAATTTGGAGGCAGTTTTTCCCCCAGATTTTGGCATATTTCTCAGCCTAAAATATAAAAAAAGAGCATTTATTAATGAAGAAGCCTGATGCGTTCCTAAAGAAACATTTAATGCTATTTAGGTATTCAAGTTAGCGTGTTGTCGAGTTAATGGCACATGCTGAGGCTGCCAAATTCGGCCTATCAATGACCTCTGAGCGGGAAACGTGTGAAATATTCCGTTACTGCTTCCCCCACCTCCCCTCATTTTCTTCGGACCTTTATATAGTGTGAACTGGGGATGCACCAATACTGGTTTTTCTGTATCGAATACTGATTTTTTTTTTTTTGGTACTTACCGATAGCGGGTACCGGTGCCGTGTGCCCCGATTATCAGGAAGTCGGGCGGCGGATAATGACCCGCCACCCACCTTCCTGGTTGCCTGTGAAGCCGGTGTTCCAGCAAAAGAACACCGGCTTCACTTGCCGAGGCTGCCTGGCCAATCAGGAAGCCGGGTGGCGAGTCATGAGGTGCAGTCCAGCTTCCTGATTGTCTAGGAAACTGGCTTTACTTGTTGCTAGGCAGCCTGGATTCCTAACCAATCAGGAAGATGGGCATTACGTAATGACCCGGCTTCCTGATAGGCAGCCTGGCTTCCTGACCTAAGAACAAGTAAAGTCGACTTCCTAATCAATCAGGAAGCCGGGCGGCACATCATGACCCGCCTCTCTGATTGGCTAGGAAGCCGGTTTTACTTGTTCCTAGGAAGCCTGGCTTCCTGACCTATCAGGAAGCCGGGTCATTAGGTGCTGCCCGGCTTCCTGATTGGTTAGGAAGCCAGGCTGCCTAGCAACAAGTAAAGCCAGCTTCCTAGCCAATCAGGGAGCCAAAAGGCAGGTCATAACCCACCTCCCGGGTTCCTGATTGGAAAGGAAGCCGGCTCCATTCTCCCTCGGCACTGCCAGTCACCCAATCAGCAAGAAGCCGGCTGTTTCAGCCGGATCGATGCTGATTGCTCAGGAAGCTGGCTCCCTGGCCAATCAGGGAGCCAAGAGGCGGGTCATAACTTGCTGCCCGGCTTCCTGATTGCCTGGGAAGCTGGCTCCATGTTCCCCTACGGCACTGCCGTTCAGACGACGTCTTCCTTGGACCGGAAGTTCCGATATTGGGGAAGGTATCTGAGCATTTAGAGGAGTACTCTCCCCAATGCTCGGTATCGGCACCAATACCGATACTAGTATCAGTGCATCCATAATGTAAATCCAAGTGAAATACAGCACCCCCGTGGGGTGGGGCGTTTTATATGTACAAAGGATAAAATCCCAGGACCAGCAGCATTACAAATAAATTCATTTCACGCAAAAGCCAATAAATGTCAATTATTTCACATTCTGCAAAAAACGTTACTTCTGTAAAAAAAAAAAAAACAAGAAAAAAAGAAAAATCTCCTTTTTCCTCCGATCGCCGAACGGCATTAAAAGACAAATAATAATAATAATATACTAAGAAATATAAAATGCAGCAAATCGTCCGAATGAGGAATCTGCACACAGATCTGACCTCTGCCCGGCCCAGGTGAGTCGTTAAGGAAAGACTTCTACAATGATACATATAAAAAGAAGAAGATATTGGCGGAGAAAGCTCTTATGGCACCAGGGTGTCATGGCGGCGGCACGCTTCTTCAGGCACTCCGGGAACTTGTGCGGTCAGAAATAACGGATAGAGTTTATGGTCAGTGCATTACAAGGCCGCTCTGTGTGTGCCGGGCCTGGAGCGGATCGTCACGCGTCCTTCCCATTGTCCCAGCGGGATGAGGCCCCCGGAGAAGAGGGCATGGAGGCACATGAAGTCAATAGAAAAGGTGGTGGTAGAGTTAGCGGCTCCACTAACGTGGAGAGAGGGACCGCTCCTTGCGGTGATAAGGGATGTGATTGGATAACTTTGTGCATTGAATGCACACGAGGTAGCACTGGACTCCGCTGGGTGTCAGAGAGGGCATCAGGGGGGGGAGAAGAACATCAGACCAGAATCCTCAGGAGGAAGGAGAAGGCGGCTCCGAGCGCCAGGCCCAACGATAGGAAGAACGCCATGATGGCCCCGGCCGTCTCTGCCTCATGTACATCCACGTTCCTGCAAAAATAAGACAGAGGTGTCAGGGGGGTTAGCAGTATAAGACAGAGGTGTCAGGGGGGTGAGCAGTATAAGACCGAGGTGTCAGGGGGGTGAGCAGTATAAGACCGAGGTGTCAGGGGGGTGAGCAGTATAAGACCGAGGTGTCAGGGGGGTGAGCAGTATAAGACCGAGGTGTCAGGGGGGTGAGCAGTATAAGACCGAGGTGTCAGGGGGGTGAGCAGTATAAGACCGAGGTGTCAGGGGGGTGAGCAGTATAAGACCGAGGTGTCAGGGGGGTGAGCAGTATAAGACCGAGGTGTCAGGGGGGTGAGCAGTATAAGACCGAGGTGTCAGGGGGGTGAGCAGTATAAGACCGAGGTGTCAGGGGGGTGAGCAGTATAAGACCGAGGTGTCAGGGGGGTGAGCAGTATAAGACCGAGGTGTCAGGGGGGTGAGCAGTATAAGACCGAGGTGTCAGGGGGGTGAGCAGTATAAGACCGAGGTGTCAGGGGGGTGAGCAGTATAAGACCGAGGTGTCAGGGGGGTGAGCAGTATAAGACCGAGGTGTCAGGGGGGTGAGCAGTATAAGACCGAGGTGTCAGGGGGGTGAGCAGTATAAGACCGAGGTGTCAGGGGGGTGAGCAGTATAAGACCGAGGTGTCAGGGGGGTGAGCAGTATAAGACCGAGGTGTCAGGGGGGTGAGCAGTATAAGACCGAGGTGTCAGGGGGGTGAGCAGTATAAGACCGAGGTGTCAGGGGGGTGAGCAGTATAAGACCGAGGTGTCAGGGGGGTGAGCAGTATAAGACCGAGGTGTCAGGGGGGTGAGCAGTATAAGACCGAGGTGTCAGGGGGGTGAGCAGTATAAGACCGAGGTGTCAGGGGGGTGAGCAGTATAAGACCGAGGTGTCAGGGGGGTGAGCAGTATAAGACCGAGGTGTCAGGGGGGTGAGCAGTATAAGACCGAGGTGTCAGGGGGGTGAGCAGTATAAGACCGAGGTGTCAGGGGGGTGAGCAGTATAAGACCGAGGTGTCAGGGGGGTGAGCAGTATAAGACCGAGGTGTCAGGGGGGTGAGCAGTATAAGACCGAGGTGTCAGGGGGGTGAGCAGTATAAGACCGAGGTGTCAGGGGGGTGAGCAGTATAAGACCGAGGTGTCAGGGGGGTGAGCAGTATAAGACCGAGGTGTCAGGGGGGTGAGCAGTATAAGACCGAGGTGTCAGGGGGGTGAGCAGTATAAGACCGAGGTGTCAGGGGGGTGAGCAGTATAAGACCGAGGTGTCAGGGGGGTGAGCAGTATAAGACCGAGGTGTCAGGGGGGTGAGCAGTATAAGACCGAGGTGTCAGGGGGGTGAGCAGTATAAGACCGAGGTGTCAGGGGGGTGAGCAGTATAAGACCGAGGTGTCAGGGGGGTGAGCAGTATAAGACCGAGGTGTCAGGGGGGTGAGCAGTATAAGACCGAGGTGTCAGGGGGGTGAGCAGTATAAGACCGAGGTGTCAGGGGGGTGAGCAGTATAAGACCGAGGTGTCAGGGGGGTGAGCAGTATAAGACCGAGGTGTCAGGGGGGTGAGCAGTATAAGACCGAGGTGTCAGGGGGGTGAGCAGTATAAGACCGAGGTGTCAGGGGGGTGAGCAGTATAAGACCGAGGTGTCAGGGGGGTGAGCAGTATAAGACCGAGGTGTCAGGGGGGTGAGCAGTATAAGACCGAGGTGTCAGGGGGGTGAGCAGTATAAGACCGAGGTGTCAGGGGGGTGAGCAGTATAAGACCGAGGTGTCAGGGGGGTGAGCAGTATAAGACCGAGGTGTCAGGGGGGTGAGCAGTATAAGACCGAGGTGTCAGGGGGGTGAGCAGTATAAGACCGAGGTGTCAGGGGGGTGAGCAGTATAAGACCGAGGTGTCAGGGGGGTGAGCAGTATAAGACCGAGGTGTCAGGGGGGTGAGCAGTATAAGACCGAGGTGTCAGGGGGGTGAGCAGTATAAGACCGAGGTGTCAGGGGGGTGAGCAGTATAAGACCGAGGTGTCAGGGGGGTGAGCAGTATAAGACCGAGGTGTCAGGGGGGTGAGCAGTATAAGACCGAGGTGTCAGGGGGGTGAGCAGTATAAGACCGAGGTGTCAGGGGGGTGAGCAGTATAAGACCGAGGTGTCAGGGGGGTGAGCAGTATAAGACCGAGGTGTCAGGGGGGTGAGCAGTATAAGACCGAGGTGTCAGGGGGGTGAGCAGTATAAGACCGAGGTGTCAGGGGGGTGAGCAGTATAAGACCGAGGTGTCAGGGGGGTGAGCAGTATAAGACCGAGGTGTCAGGGGGGTGAGCAGTATAAGACCGAGGTGTCAGGGGGGTGAGCAGTATAAGACCGAGGTGTCAGGGGGGTGAGCAGTATAAGACCGAGGTGTCAGGGGGGTGAGCAGTATAAGACCGAGGTGTCAGGGGGGTGAGCAGTATAAGACCGAGGTGTCAGGGGGGTGAGCAGTATAAGACCGAGGTGTCAGGGGGGTGAGCAGTATAAGACCGAGGTGTCAGGGGGGTGAGCAGTATAAGACCGAGGTGTCAGGGGGGTGAGCAGTATAAGACCGAGGTGTCAGGGGGGTGAGCAGTATAAGACCGAGGTGTCAGGGGGGTGAGCAGTATAAGACCGAGGTGTCAGGGGGGTGAGCAGTATAAGACCGAGGTGTCAGGGGGGTGAGCAGTATAAGACCGAGGTGTCAGGGGGGTGAGCAGTATAAGACCGAGGTGTCAGGGGGGTGAGCAGTATAAGACCGAGGTGTCAGGGGGGTGAGCAGTATAAGACCGAGGTGTCAGGGGGGTGAGCAGTATAAGACCGAGGTGTCAGGGGGGTGAGCAGTATAAGACCGAGGTGTCAGGGGGGTGAGCAGTATAAGACCGAGGTGTCAGGGGGGTGAGCAGTATAAGACCGAGGTGTCAGGGGGGTGAGCAGTATAAGACCGAGGTGTCAGGGGGGTGAGCAGTATAAGACCGAGGTGTCAGGGGGGTGAGCAGTATAAGACCGAGGTGTCAGGGGGGTGAGCAGTATAAGACCGAGGTGTCAGGGGGGTGAGCAGTATAAGACCGAGGTGTCAGGGGGGTGAGCAGTATAAGACCGAGGTGTCAGGGGGGTGAGCAGTATAAGACCGAGGTGTCAGGGGGGTGAGCAGTATAAGACCGAGGTGTCAGGGGGGTGAGCAGTATAAGACCGAGGTGTCAGGGGGGTGAGCAGTATAAGACCGAGGTGTCAGGGGGGTGAGCAGTATAAGACCGAGGTGTCAGGGGGGTGAGCAGTATTAGACAATTCATACAGTAGCCCAACAACCCGATTGGCTGAATTGCTGCTTGGGTCTGATAGTTGGGTCCACTTTGCGCTGCCATTGGCCCCTAGAGCAGGGATATGACTGGACCCCAGGGGGCAGCACTGAAGGGTGATACATGAAGGGTCGGCAGTGTGTGTGTGTGGAGGAGACAGGTACTCACTTGGGTCCGAAGCACATGCAGAGGCTGGCCAGGTATCCGTTGGACACGGCGAAGACGATCATGATGCAGATGTACCAGGCGTCGTGGGACAGTAGAACGGGCAGGTATTGGCGCGGCATGACGTTACACAGCATGAAGAGCGGCAGGAAGATGAGTCGGGCCGCCACCATGATGGGGAGCAATATACTGTCCTTCCCGGGCTGCAGAGAACACACCATTATCACCGTTATCATATTCACCCCGAGTGTACTGCATCTTGTGTGTGAATGTGATCAGCTAAAGAGAACCTGTCAACTGTTCCAAACTATGTCAAGCTGCTACTTTATTGTACCCCGCTGATCTACTTATGTTTTGGTGCTGGGGCTTGTCCAATGAGAGCATTTTAATTAGACCCTCTCATTGGACAGAAAAACAGCAGCTGGGTGGGGCTTAGCCTTAAATGATAGGAAATAAAGGAAAACAAAATCATTGGGGTGCACAAAGCAGGGTTGTCCAAAAGGTGAGGTCAGTGACACTTTAACTTAACAATAGACTTAATAATACATTTCATCATCATTGGTGGTCAGTGGCACTTTAAGACC